TACCCTGGACAGGAGGACTGCAGTCTCTCTACGTCTCAGAGTAGTTTTTCCTTACTGCTTTTACTTTCTCCATCTGCTTAGTTCTTACCTGTTAAAGTTCCCATTGCATATATTGAGCTTCCTAAATTTTGATCATTTTTAATCATGGTAAGTACACATAACATAAAATTGACCATCTTAGCCATTTTTAAGGGAATAGTTCAGTAGTGTGCCCCACTGCCAACCACAATGTTATTGAAGTAATAAAATTCCGAAAGGCAGAGGACAAATCAGAGAATATGACAGCTCACTGGAGTGTGGTAAAAAGCAAGCTTTGTGTGTAGAATTGAAGACCATTCGAGAGCTGGCCTGGATGTCTTTCTGGACCCTCCTGAGCTGGAGAGTCTGTGGAACTGTGGGAAGGTGAGGAGACTTGAACAGGTGCTGCAGGAAGTCAGGTGCACACTTTGGTGAGTGTCTCCTCTTGATATTTAAAATGATGTCCTCAGATTTTAAAAAAAGGTGGTGGGAACTCCTTCTACTGTCTGTCTTTCAAATTCCAGGGGATTTGTTGCTTACTTGACTTAGGGATGAGCTGGTGATCCTTGTCCAAAACCACTGGTCAGGCGGCCACTGGTCACGTCTTTGTAACCACACTCTGCCCTACACAAGGTCTGTGGTCCAGATTAGCAACAAAAGGCGGCAACCATTTGCTGCTAATGACATAAAATGCTGGGACAAACTTCAAATGAGACAAACAATGGTCTCCAGCAGCATCTTTTTACCTTCTGTTCAAACTGTCTTCTTTGAGTGCTGCTTCCATGGCCCTATCTATCTTTCACGAGCTGTCCCCTCCCTGCTCAGAGCTCCTGAAAGGCTCACCAAGTCCCCCTGCTATCAGCAGCTCTCAGACCCAGTCTCATTTCCCCAGCAGCTCCTGTTGGCTCTCCAGAGTGCCCTAGTTTCTGATACCTTTAGGTGGCCTTTTGTGTGCGAGCTTTCTCAGTCTCGTTTGAGCAGATCCACCCTCACTGCCCTTCACAGAGCTCCCATTACCAGCTGCTTCCAAAATGCTAGAATCAGCTCTGATTGCAGAGAAAGTTCACTTGTTCCTACCAGTCCCAGTAGGTGTGAGAGTCCTTGCCCTATGCCTCATCTAGTTAGAAGTAAGGGGGAAAAATCTATCCAATCTAAGGTATGACTGCTTCACAGATGCCCATCCCACTGACCTCACACCCAGAAGCTGATGGCTGAGGACGGATTGGCCCCATGTCCTCTTCAAAGGGACCAACATCTTAACCCAGGAATGCTGTGTTCATGGCAGCCCCATCAAGGAGGAATTGGGGAGACAGGAGGGATTTGTTAGCACCTCTCCAATCCCTCCATACAAAGCTCAGTTTCTTTCTGTTCTCAAAGAATTTATATGAAGTTGAGGAGGAAGTTCGGGAGATTCAATGTCCCTTTCACAGGACATGTAAGAAATGAACAAAGTATGAGTTAGAGTCCCTTTTAATGGGTGTCAGAAGCAATCTTATCTGGGCCTCAAAAACTGTCTTTATCCCTGAGGTCAAGATCTGGTAGATATTGACCCTGAGCCAGTCTGAGAGTTGTGAGGCCAGGGAAATGCCTTTTTCTTAACAAGAAGAATGCTCATGTACATATTCTCTGCATTTTCTTAAAAGTTGCATTTAGTCATTATAGAAACAAAAGAAATAATTTAGAATTGAATCAAGCTGAGGTAGGTATTCTGAAAAATACAGGAATATTTTTCCTGTTCATCATGCTAAAATTGGTAAATCTCCCTTTTATATTGACCATTTGTGGTAGCTCAATGGTTCGCCACCCTCTCAGAACCAGTGTTTGGTAACACTGTTACTGTCCTAAAATGAAATTCATAGATAATTTTACCTTTCTAAGATAAAATTAAAAACCCTCTTACACAAATAATGTAAACATACATATATATTATATATATATATAATATTATAACTGTAATGTAAATAAGTAATGAAAAGTGATTTATAATAATATGTATTTCAGTATGTAAATGCTCAGAGATGGTTACAGAAAGAGACAAAATGAGGCAGTCTGATGTTGGCACCTACAGCTAATATCCACCTGAATGCAACAACTACCAATATTGCTTACAGGTGTGTTGTGTCATACTTTAATGTCATGGGCAGTGTTGCTATTAATAATGTGGTTTTCCAAAACTAATGAACAACTCTTGGTCAAATTGCAAGGAAACCAGAGTAAAATCTTTCTTCAACATCCATGGTAGTAGCATTTCCAGAAAACTCAGAAAATTAAAACCATACAAAAAAAGTATATTTATGAAAACTGATTAAAATACCACTAACTGTGCTGATAATATTAATTACAAGTAAATGTTTCACTTCATGAATGTCTGGCAGAACATTCAAATAAGGAGCGAGACCTAATAATTCTTTATTGTGATGGAAATTGTGTTCAAGGCAAGATGTCTAGCCCCTGGCCCTGCCACCAAATACAAGTAGTATTCTCTTATAATGGTGATACCCCAAAATGACCTTAGAGACCAGTGTCACTTCCAGTCCTCTGTGAAAGTCATCTCCATACAATTAAAGACAAAGATCAGACAAACTGAATTTTTTCTATTTATTCTGTAAATACTGATGAATAAAATATTTTCTATTATAGGATATTGCACTTCTATATTTTGGGTAATATTTTTTATAGGCCCACAGAAATAGTCCCTTTAATATAATAAATTATAATACAGAGAAAAACATAATTGCCTTATCTCAATTTATCTAAAATTTGGAAGAGATTATAATATAATCTACAAGATAAAAGATTATTATGAGAGTAGTAATATAAGAAGAGAAGCCCAATGACATTCCCACAAATAGTTTTTTAAAAATTTAAATATTTTACTATATTTCTTTATTTTCTTACACATTTTATGGATGTTACAAATTTTCTTAAAACTTTTATGGGTCTTACTAATTGTCTTACCAATTTTATGGGTTAAAAAGAAAAAAGTAAGAAAATAAATGGGAAAAGAAGACAAATAATAAGTAAAAGAAATATAACTTAAAAAAGAAAAAAGGACAGTTGTTATAAAATTTAAAACAGGAAAAAAAATTGGGAACAAGTTATAACTGCAGTATGTTGTTGCTTTTTCTTCCTCAATTAATAATTTCTATGACTCAGTGATTTTAGTGATTACAGAAACTCACAGGGGAATTTCGTATATTCATCTGATGAACTGTGGATCCATAGCATGATGACAAATTAAGAAGCACCTTCAAATCCTGAAGATATACCTTGCTGAAATAAAAAGTTTTATTAATTCATTCAGGT